TAATTTTTCATTGGGTATTCTACGATTTCACAAGAAGTGCCGGGATATAGGATAGTACTTTTTAAATCATTAAAATTAAAAAAGAAAATATTCAAAAAAAGAGATTAGGATCCGTACCGTCAGAAAATAACGTCATAATTTACATTGGTTATATTTTCGGATTATTAATAATAAGAGTAATTAATTATGTCCATTCTTGCTTGTAAGAGAGAATTATGCTTTTAAAAAACATTAAAAAGTAAAGATAACCAAAGAAAATCAATATGGCGCGTACCGTCAAAAAATGGCGGCCATTTTGAAACCATTTTGAAATTGCATTTATTATATTTTTCTCTAGGATTTTATCTTTACAATTAATTCATTTTTTTCTTTTACTAGTGTTCACCCAATACAAGGCCTGGGGGCTACTCAAGGTAGAGGGTTAATGTGTGGAGTTGTATTAGCGTAAGAAAGGGCAAGATGACAAGAAAGATAGACAGCTAATTCTAGACGTGAAGAGGTCAAGATTTAATTAGCGAATAAATTTTTCAGAGTTTAGGTGGAGATGTTAGAAGTACAAAGTTGAAATAGACTTGTTGCGGGCCGGTGTACGCGTTGAGAGATAAAAAAAAAACCTGTGTCTTCTGAAATGTCCACAATCAACATAGCAGACTGTGAGTCCATGTAAAAAAATGTAAAGAAATGACAAGAACTAATATATATACACAAATAAATAATAATGTATTAACAACAAAGGATTACAAGTGACAAAGACAATGATGTGTGTGTCAAATGAATGTGGAAACTGTTTTGGTCCAAAGTATGTGTAGTGAGTGAATGTGCGTACGTACGTGTGTGTGCATGTATGTATTGTCCCTGCGTTTCGTACAAGCGGAAAGTAAGAAGAAGAGGGCGAGAAAAGATATCGCCGTGTCTTTATAGTCCGGAAAGCGTCCCCTAGTAGCGGTTTCGAAACCCGATAGTATATTATCAAGAAATGTCAATTTTACAAGCAAGGGTGCTAATTCCCCAATAATCATATTGGTGGATGCGACAGACTTTACAAGGAATCGGAAACCCAATCCCAAACATGGAAAAAGGTATGAATTCCTACTCCTGTTCAAAAGAGCGGCGAGGAGTGTGAACCGAACGATAGGCAAACCTATCTACTCCTATTAAAGAGGGGAAAAAAATACCAAATAAAATTTCGGAATTCACGCAGAGACGTCAGAAATATAGACTTGAAGGAACCGAAAACCCAATTCTAAACAGGAGACAAGGGATAAACCTCTACTCCTGTTCAAAAGATCGGTTATGAGTGTGAATCGGACGATAGGCGAGCCTATCTACTCCTATTTAGTGAGAAGAAAAAATAATTAATTAGTGACAAATAATTCAGGTGGAGCCGTTAGAAGTATAGAGTTTAAGTAAACCGGGACATGAAACCCAATCGTAAACAAGGAACAAGTGTTAAGCCTCTACTCCTTTTTAAAAGACAGGGGAGAATTAGGATTTTGAAATAATTAGGATTTTGATTTTTTAATGATTTAAAATATTCAACACGACTCGTGATATAAAAAAAATGACGGCCATTTTAAAACCTTTTTTTTACAGTTACATTGGTTTTATTTTCTACATGTGTAATCTAGTATTTTTTTTTATCTATACAATTAACTCCGTTGTCGTTTGTAAGAAATAAATCATTTTTTAAAAATATTACGAACGTGTGAGTAGTATTAGCAACTCAGAAAGTGAAATCGGTGATTCGAGTTCGAATTACGCTCGAGTTCGTAACATTCACTTTCTCAAAAATACCCATCGGAAAAGGCATAAACCCATCCCTCCCAATCCAAGTTATGAGTTAAATAGGGAGGCAGACTGAACTCTCTTGCCTTGAGGTGACATCAAGTCTAGGAGAAGGAAAATTATGAATTAAAACCCACCCTGATGAGGGAAGGAAGTTAGATCATAAAAAATAGTTAAATGAATATATAATACTCCCATGATGCACCAGAAGAAGCGTTTTATCGCCAAATTAAACAAAAATCAAAACTTTTTTCGTTTTTCGACCGCAGAAGGGTGCAGATGTCCTGGACAGTTCTCTGATAAAACATGTTTCCACCGACAGATAAGCAAATCTTCTTTATTTCTGGATACATATATGTTCTTTAAAATATACAATAATTTCTCTGAAATCTATGCTAAAGCATTTTAACGTTTTTTTCTATGCTTATTTTGTATCTCATATATGATTTTGTTTGTAATTTTTTAATCCCGTTGTAGGCTTAGGATGCCCTTTTAACGCCCCCCACCCCAAATACATATATAAAATAATTACATTCAAACAAGGACAACGCATCATCTGAAAACCCACAATACATTTCTAACATAAGGAGCTCAGGTTTCGTGACCGATAAAGTCATATTTGTATTTTATATTACAGAATAGATGACAAACAACCACGGTGAAATTAATTGTTGTCTCTCTTGCATTCTAGACCAATTCTGATTGTACTGCATTTATCTCTTCCCCACTTTTAAAGAAAGTAAGAAAGGGTTCTAATGGTTTGAATTAATTAAAATTGGAAGATTTTATATCCAATGTAAAATAAAAGCTGGACTAGAACCTTTCAACCAAAGATTTGATTTCCTGGTTGAATTTTATCGAGTGTGCGTTTGCATTTTTATTCTGAGTTCAGTGGTACAGGCTTAGACTCAGTGGAAAAGCAAATGCTGTGTAACAGTAAAAAAAAGATCAAGATAAAATACCTTAGATATGGACAGTACAACGAGAACAATCTAGTCCTGTAGATTAAATAAAGAGTTCATTTCGAAATTCCTTGAAGGTCACCCGGATAGACAGACACCTGAAGAAGGCTCGAGGGTACAATGGCCGAAATGATGTGATAATAACAAAAAAAAAAAAGGACATTAGTCCGAATATAAATGATGTAAATAATGATAATTCAATCTAATGGAAATTCTGACGTGATTTATTTTTCAATTTTCTGCTAATCAAATCAGAGTAATTTAAGAAAAGAAATTCACTCATTCCTGACAATAAAGACCTCCTATATTTTTTACCTTATTTCCAAAGCCCGTAATAGATACAATCTACCATATTCCACTGAAAATGCAATTTTTCAGAAATAGAGCTTTAGGTTAGACGGTGAACTATATTTTTGCCAAAATACCAAATTCTTTCAACAAGAAATTAGTTTCGTGGTAAATTTTCACGATTGAGAATGTAATCCTGGGTATGACGATAAACAACATCCGGCAGCAAGGCCTCTTAATTGCTGTTGTTCCCAGGTCCTCAGGTATGTAAAAATAATGAACTCCCAAACAAAATGAAAAAATATGGAAGTATAAAAATATATTTTCATGTGAAAAATACCAGCTATACTTATACATACATATATATATATATATATATATATATATATATATATATATATATATATATATGTATATGTTGTACAGTAATTGATATCTTTGATAATGGCTTATATAAGACGAAAGCTTAGATTGGATTAAAAATATGTATCAATATTGTGATTTTCTTTCTTCGTTTAATGATAATGTTATTGTTTATTAGACGTTATGAAAAGAATTTACATAAAATAAATAGACAAAACTTATCTATATTATTTAATGAAACACACACACACACACACACACATATATATATATATATATATATATATATATATATATATATAATTACCAACAATAACTATTTACAGTAAAATTACCAACAATACATTTTAAAGCAAAATGACCAGCAATACATTTTATAGTAGAATTACTAACATATATATTTTATAGTAAATTGACCAAAAATACTTTTTATTCTGTAGTTGAAGGCATAAAATTGTGCCCCAAATATTTAGATTTCGGCATTAAATAACCCATAGAGGTGTTGATATGCTGCTAAATAAATTCGAACCAACCAACCAAAATGAGAAAACTCTTTGATGACATTAATCCATATAACATCCTACAATATCTTAAATAAACCAAACCGCATTCCAAAGTATAACTTCAACAAAACTAGAACATAATACACACATATCACCGTAGTAACTATGTCCAGAGAAACATATATATGTACAAAGTCATTTATCATGTATTCAAATGTATTTGATTGTGAAAGCAGATTTAGATATATCATATTTTTCATTACTTCAAATCTCCCAAGAAAATTAAATTTCGCTATGAAATAACCCATAAGGAGTTGATGTGCCGTTAAACAAACAAAACAAATCCATCATTGAGAATAAGGGTGATAATCTTTTTAAAACACATAATCTTTTAAAACTAATTAAAAATGATTTTATCGTTTCGTTTATGTTTTGCCTCATTGGAACAGTTATAAAAGCAAAAGAACATTTTTCAAAATAAAGTAAGATAATAAGCTGCAGTAAAAACAAAACAAAATAGAAGAGGTTCATTGATAAATTGATCGAATCTAATGGCATATCCTATGAATCAGCTGCCAAGAAAGTTGGTTTACTGTGCCGTTCAAGACAATTTTTCACGCCAGAATCCATTTTACACATTTATAAATCTACCATTATAATCCTAAGTGTAAGTGCGGTGAACATGGTACTCTAAGACATATCCGTCCTGGCTAAGACGATAAACTACATCCGCGCCCTGGGTAAGAGGATTCACTACGTCCAACTCAACTGCAAGGCCTTTGATCAGGAGGTTTTGAGGAGCGTGGAACCACCTCTTAATTGCTGATGTTCCCAGGTCCACTCTGACCCGGGGTGGTAGCACCTGTTAGTGTCTCAGCTATGGATAAATAGTTAGCTTCTAAAATGAAATTGTAAAAATAGGTTTTAATACCAGCAATACTTTTTTCAAAGAATTATTACAAGCAATGCTATTTTTTAGGAAAAAATTACCAGCAATACATTTTTGAAAAAATATTACCAGCAATAAAATTTTGTCTGCATTAAATAACACATTGAAGTTGCTATGCCGTAAAACAAACCAAACCAAACCATTATATACTGAGATAGATAGATAGATAGATAGATAGATAGATAGATAGATACAAAATATTACCAGCAATAAAAATCTTGTCTGCATGAAATAACACATTGAAGTTCATATGCCGTAAAACAAAACAGACCAAACCAAACTAAGACTTATACTTTCTGCCTGTTCATTGAGTTTGAAAGAAAGATACACGTGGCGATATAATGAAGTCTTGAAGGTGTTTTGCCTTTCCTTCAGGAAGAAGATTGATGATATCAATGAAGGAAAGGGACCTACCAAGCAAGTGATGACTAAAGTACAGTTTCACAAAGAAGGAAGAAAGGCCACTACTAGAGGATCTCAAATGAAAACAATGGAGGATGAAAGATGGTCAAGAGAATGGAAAATAGCAGTAGACCACGATTCTGTACTTGTCTTTCCTATTGTAGCAACAAGCCAACGGCCAGACCTTGTGTTATGGAATGAAAATGACAAAAAAAAAACACTGTTGTTGGAACTGACAGTCTCTTAGGAAGACAATTTGGAAAAGGCAGAGCAAAGAAAAGTCGAGAGATATGAAGACCTGATAGACAAATGTGAAGAATTGGAACGGAAGATTGAATTCTACCATTTATCTGTGAGATGCTGTGGAAAAGATGTTGCCAATGTGCTCAGAAGAGGATTTAGCTATAGCAACAAGGAGATAAAAAGTGTGGTAGCAAATCTTCAGCAGACAACGGAAAAGAATCGCTCTTCATCTGGTTAAAATGTGATGATGACAGTTGGTTGGAGAACAATTGATGGCAGGAAAGACCAGTTAGCACCGATCCAGAATCACCTTACAGAATGGAGGGCCCTCTCCATAGAATGCAGTAGAAGAAAAGGAACTGAAACTGGCTGTTATGGTTCTTCCCGATGACTGACTGTGGATTGGATCCACAAATTGCTGACTGGTTGTCAAGACCTCTGATTTTTTTTTATATTCGGTCGCATCAAGCTTACGGTCAGATCACGCTGAACACAGCTGTTCTCGTTCGAACACCGAAGTTAAGCATCGTAGAGCCAGGTCAGTACTTAGATGGGGCACCGCTTGGGAACACCTGGTACTGTAAGCAAACCCTTATTACAGGGGTAAACTTCCAATTTTTTGGGCATCTCGAGGCGGTGTAATGCTTAGCAAGCGTGTCTCGCTAGAACAATTACGACTGAGTAGTGAGTTCGATCCTCACTGGGTGCCACATCTAAGCTACGCTTGGAAAATCACTATTCGGTTCCATCAATTTCAATGATAATTCATTATTTCAAGTCTATTACTATACTAATTAATTTATATTAATATTTTATTTCATTTTATTAATATTGAAAATTAATATTATTCATTATTAATATATTAAAAGAATTTATAGAATAAATATCAGTATCTGTCTATATTTCTGAGATGAGGTATTATGTACACTATTTACATTATTCGGACTATTGTCCCCATCTTTGTTGTCATATTTATTACAACGTTCCAGCCTTTCAGTATCTGTCTATATTTCTAAGATGAGGTATTATGTACATTACTTACATTATTCGGACTATTGTCCTCATCTTTGTTGCCATATTTATTACAACGTTTCAGCCTTTCAGTATCTGCCTATATTTCTGAGATGAGGTATTATGTACACTATTTACATTATTCGGAACTGTATAGGCGATTGTATACAGACAAATGGTATATGCACAGACAAAAATCGACCCGAGGGAATGTAGTAATTTGATCGAGAAAATCTACAAGGACAGACATGACTGGGTAGGAAAGATGATCCACTGGTAACTGTACAAATGACTACATTTTGATCATAAATGGTATATGTCATGGCGAATAAAATACATCAAATTCTCTAAGACTTTGAGATTTAAACGGACTAAGTAATCCAGACCTGAAGGTCGGATCTGTTAGTTGTAAACAAAAACAAAGAGCGTGCCAGATACTAAATGTTGTTTCAGTCACCCAAAGAAAGCGAAAAGATAGGTGAATATCTCCACCTAGGCAGAAAGCTGAAGTTGTGTAACATGAAAGAGACATTCGTTCCACATGTTATAGGAGCATAAGAAATAGTCCGGAAGAGATTGAATGAGTCTGAAATTATGGGAAGAATACATCCAGACTACAGCATTGTTGATAACAGCTGGAATACTAAGAGTGTTGAAGGAGACTTGATATCACTTCATATCCAGCGTAAACCACCAGTTATTATTCGTGTAAACATTTAACAAAGGAAATATCATAATAAGACATCAAATCAGGTAAATAAATATATCTCCAAAGTTGGACAGGGCGTTTGTTTCGAGGTTCTTACTGCAACTGTTTTTCGAATGCTTCCAGGCTTTCTTTTACTCAGCAACGTTGCTATGCCAAAATATTGTAATGACTCAATAAAGACGCTTACTCACTCCTACATTTTCTGCTGACTAAAGTTCCGGAGTTACAAGCAATAGCAAACCATAAACACGGCACTGGTTTGGATGGTGAGGATGATCTGTTCGTATTAGAACAAGGATATATTTATTTTTTGTGGGGGTAGTCTTTTTACTCAAAGCTGGCGTTTGATAAACAGTAACTATAATCTGGACTCAAATTATCAGATAACTTCAATTCTATTTTTAAAAAAAGTTTTATATTTTTGGAAGTTTTCGTGTTGTTTACCTGGCTTTATATTGAGATCTGATGAAACTGGCGGGGTGGGAATTTTTCGGGAAGTAAACACAGCGAGTAAAAGATAAAGTAACACTTTTCTGTATTTTATCAGACGATTAAATTTCTTCCGTTTAAGCGGTAGTTACTATGGCTACTCATGAAATGGATATAATTAAACTAAGCCATCAAAAAATAAATACGTCAATATTACTCTCCAACGATTCCACTGGTGTGTGTGTGTGTGTGTGTGTGTGTGTGTTTGTGTGTGTGTGAGTGTGTGTGTGTGTGTGTGTGTTTGTGTGTGTGCTACAGGGTGCGATGGATAAATTGTCATCTAAATTACGCAAAAATGTAAATGACACTGACATCTGATTTTCGCCGATATATTTACCAAAATTATACAAAAATATCTTGAAATACTGAAGAGTAAATTTATTCAATCGACAATCATGGCCTCCAGGCGACTTCTGAATCATCTGCAACTCTTCTGAATGGTCTCTTTGTTTCAGTTGGTGAATGCTGGCATAATCCTTGCCTTCAGTTCATGTTTGCTGTAAGAAGGAGTAAATGCGCCCCACACCTAATAAACAATGGGGTCGCGATCTGGGGAGTTAGGTGGCCAGATGTAAAGGGTGATGTGGCCGTAGAAATTATCTGAAAGCCATGACTGCTTCTCCTGCTTGTGAGGGATGGTGCAGAATCCTGATGGCAGGCATAGGGTCTTCCAGCAGCCATGTAGGTATCCGTACTGAGTCTGAGGCCCGCACCAACAAATTCTGGAGTTCTTTTCTTATCAGAACGATCAGAGTAAGTTTTCCAAGATGCCGTACCTTCGTAATCATCATTGAACTCATCCAACTCTTTCCAAATCCTGTGCGCTGTCCTCAGATTGTCATCCAAACACTCTGAAATGTTTGTATTGAAGTTTACGGTGCGAATGCCAAGTTCCAAATTTATGGCGGAGTGAATTGCGTCATGGTGTTCTTTTTCTCTCAGTCGGTGACCAACTGACTCTACTAAATTGTGCAGACAACAAAATCAAAAGCAAACAACGCTCACGCAGCAAATAAAAAATATACAATTGCGACAATTTACCCATCGCAACCTATATATACATATATATACATATATATGAAAAATTATAATAAATAATTATGCTCTACTCTCGGTATTGCGTTGTCTTAATACTGTAAACTTAGAATTTATATATTATTTTCGTCTCATTGCATTTGAATATATATATATATATATATATATATATATATATATATATATATATTAAATATAACTGATATATTTTTATTACATAAAAATGGTATTTACATATAAAAAAAACAGCAAACGTTGTGTAATTCTGTTAAAAATGACGTTTCCTCACATCAATGTCCAACGGTACAGAAGTGAATTTGGTGAACCGGGTCCAAATTACGACCTGCTCTTTTGTATACATTTTGTACTAATAACCTTGGGGAAGGCATGGATTCATTTCTTCTCTCCCTCCCCATCAGCTATGAGTGAATCAGAGTGGAATGGAAGCTTTATCCTTCAGTTCTAGCTTGCCGGGTAGAAGACAATGCGATACCAATCGAATATTAAAAAAGTCATTTCACAGATAAGGAAAAAGAAATCTGTAGAGAGTCATTGTCTCCTGCTTCCTGATGAGACATAGCAGTAAAAAATGGTATTTTATTACATCAAATGTTATTTTTAATGTATGCCTATATTTGAGTAGACGCCTCATATTTAACGAGTATTTATTTCGTCTGCTGTCCTGTGTATTCGCGAAAAAGGGGACGCAGGTTCCTATCCTCTCGGAGAGCACATTATCTCGAATTAATACGCAATTAAATATTGTTTAAAATAAACGGAGCTTCTACTCAAATCCGGGTATCCACTAAAAATAGCGCCTGAAGTCATATATATATATATATATATATATATATATATATATATATATATATAGAGAGAGAGAGAGAGAATATAGATAGATAGATAGATAAATAGATAGATATAGATAGATAATATTAGTGGTAAATATACATATACAAAATATATAAAATATATAAATATATACACATACATATATATTTTTAGAATAAAAAATTCCAAGAGGATAGATTCCAGGACAGAGAAAGGATATAATAAAAAGGCTTAAACACTAATATTCCATGGTCATAATTTATTCCATTGGAATCGTAAATACGATCCAATTCATCAGATCTACAAATTCAAAAAGAAAACAGAAAAAACAACCCCGGAAATAAAAATAGAATTTAGTGAGAGTTTAAGTATGAGAGTGTGGGACGAATGTTAGAGCTAAAGAGAGGGGTAACAGACGAGAGAAGGTGGGAGATTAAAACTTAACGGAGAGGAGTTTTAGAGAGGTGAGTTGAAGGCGGTTTAAGTGAGAGAAATATAAATGTTGTCGGATGTCTAATACATTAAAGATGTAACCGGAAAGGATACATTTTGTGGTGACATACACACACAATAGACGATCTAATCTTAAAGATCAGAATAAGAGGGAGGGAGAGGAAAAGAAAAGAAAAAGGGGTGGGGGAGAGAGATGGTGTGGGGAAAACTAAAACTGAAGGGCATTTACTGAAAGGGCCGCTGTGTAATTAAGAAAATTTGACAAAATTAATATCGACTACAGGTTACAAATCAAATATAAACATATAAAAAATAAATATAACGATTATCTAATCTAGCAAGGACCTATATTTTTATGTTCAAAAACACATGCGTATACACACATACACAATAACATATACACGTACATACATACATATAGGCGTGTACCCACATACACACAAATATATACCCATGTACACACACACACATATCCATATATATATATATATATATATACACATATATATATTCTCATATACATACGTACACATACATACACATACATGTATACATATACATACATAAATGCACACACACATACATACATACATATACACATACAACCATACACATCGACTCCAGAGTTGTTTTTTCTATTTATACCTTTTGAATTTGTAGGTCTGATGAATTGGATCGTATTTACGATTCCAATGGAATAAATTATGACCATGGAATATTAGTGTTTAATATATTTTTTATATATATATATATATATATATATATATATATATATATATATATATATATATATATATATTGATACATGTTTCATTAAATAATATAGACAAGTTTTGTCTATTTATTTTAAGTAAATTCCTTTCATATCGTCTGATAAGCTTAATAACATTATCATTGAAAGATGAAAGAAAAACACCATATTGATACGTTTATTTTTAATCCTATGTAAGCTTTCGGCTTACATAATATATTATCAAAGATGACAATTACATTTCAATATATTAAACAATACACGGACAAAACAATAATGATAGTCTAATTTTTTTGCATGAAAAAT